GAGTGTGAGTGTGAGTGTGAGTGTGAGTGTGAGTGTGAGTGTGAGTGAGAGTGAGAGTGAGAGTGAGAGTGAGGGTGTGTGTGTGTGAGTGTGAGTGAGTGTGAGTGAGAGTGACGGTGGGTGTGAGTGAGTGTGGGTGAGAGTGAGAGTGTGAGGGAGTGTGAGTGTGAGTGAGAGTGGGAGCGTGAGTGAGTGTGGGTTGTGAGTGCGAGTGTGCGGCTGCACCGAAATCTGCGTTGCGAGGTTCACAAAACACTGCGCCTGCCACGAAATCTGCACTTCGAGGTTCACCAAATGCTGTGCCTGCCACGAAATCTGCACTTCGAGGTTCACAAAGTTGCGGCTGCCACGGAATCTGCACTTCGAGGTTCACAAAGCGCTGTGGCTGCCACGAAATCTGCGCTTCGAGTTTCACCAAGCGCTGTGCCTGTCACGAAATCTGCACATCGAGGTTCGCAAGGTGGTGTACCTGTCACGAACTCTGCAGTTCGAGGTTCACAAAGTGCTGTGGCTGCCATGAAATCTTGACGTCGAGGTTCACAAAACGCTGCACCTGCCACGAAATCTGCACATCGAGATTCACAAACTAAGTGCAGTGCCTGCCACGAAATCTGCCCATCGAGGTTCACAAAGTGCGGTACCTGCCACGAAATCTGCACTTCGAGGCCCCCGCCACGAAATCTGCGCTTCGAGGTTCACAAGTTGATGCCCCTGCCAGGAAATCTACACGAGGTTCACGAAATGCCGTGCCTGCCACGAAATCTACAAACGAGCACTACACCATGAAATCAGAGCGCCTCGACGATCACGAGCCACCATGTCCAAAGTGCGGCGCCTACCATGAAATCTGCATTTCGAAGTTAAGTCGCTCCGACCCCTTGCGCGCGTCACGAAAAGTGACCACCATGTGCGAACATGCGCGCGGCGCCACGACGAGAGCGCAATCGCTGGCCCCTAGATTCTGCGAGCCTGCGCCTGCGCAGTCGAAATGCACATTGACGATGTCGAGAGGCCTGAATGTATTGTATATATAGCAGCGAATTAGCTGCGCACGCCCGCGCGCCTCAGCGATCGAAGCATCAGCTGCTTTTCTCCTACTGTAAGAACCCCCACACCGTTTGGGGAACAATTATGAAAAATGGTCAAAGTAATTTCAGAGGAAACTCTCGACTCTGTGTGTGTTTCACTCCTGGGAGTTCTGATGATGAACAAGAATGTCGGCCCCCAGACGTTACCAGCGGAAACAACCAGAATGCATATTTGTTGTGTTTTCCAGGTCAAAAAAGAAGGCGAAAATTACTTTACTTCGAGCGATCCCCACCATGACATTTCAATAATGTCTTGATGCCATAGTGAGGAGCATGTTGCCATGGTCGTGAGTATTGTATTCATCGATTTTGCTTGTTGGCCCTCGGGTTGTGTGCTATGATTGTGTGTTGTGGTTGTGGTTGTGCGCTGTGTTGTGGTTGTGGTTGTGTTTGTGATTGTGTGTTTGTGGCTGTGTGTTTGTGATTGTGTGTTTGTGGATGTGCTTGTTGTGTTTGCGGTTGCGTTTGTGGTAGTGTGCTTGTGGTTGTGGTTGTGTTTGTCGTTGTGGTTGTGTTTGTGGTTGTGTTTGTGATTGTGGTTGTGTGTTTGTGGTTGTGTGTTTGTGGTTGTGTGTTTGTGGTTATGTGTGTTGTTGTGTTTGTGGTTGTGTGCTTGTGGTTGTGTGCTTGTGGTTGCGTGTTTGTGGTTGTGTGCTTGTGGTTGTGTTTGCGGTTGTGTGTTTGTGGTTGTGTGTTTGTGGTTGTGTGCTTGCGGTTGTGTGTTTGTTGTTCTGTTTGTGGTTGTGTGTTTGTGGTTGTGTGTTTGTGGTTATGTGTTTGTGATTGTGTCTTTGCAGTTGTGTTTGTAGTTGTGTGTTTGTGACTGTGTGTTTGTGATTGTGTGTTTCTGATTGTGTTTGTGGTTGTGTGTTTGTGGTTCTGTTTGTAATAATTGTGTGTTGAGGTCCGGCGGGGAACACTGGGCGCGGATGGTCGTGGTTGAGG